TAGAATACCAGGTGGAGACTAAATGCTTACATATTTGTTTATTCAACAGTTCACATACCAATTTTTTATCATGACCTTGCACCTTATCTTCCTTTTTAGGTCCAGAAATCTCTTTGTGTTCTTTATTGTCAAATGCACCATTCCTGGCTAATTTCATATCTCCCTTCATGAGAAAAACATAGCAACATTGTACTACTTCCATTGCAATGGCACTTTAGAACCTCTTTGTATTGAAACAATATACATTTCTTGCTTTTGCAGTTTCTTTAGCCTAAGAGTCAACAGTGGACCTAGGTAGGCCATAGCTTTGACCTGTGACCAATGTGAGTGCCACCCCATATCGGCACATCAGCACCATTTTGCATGCCTAATCTTAAGAGTTCCCATTTAAAAAAATCCAATGACGACCAATGAGAGTGATTTGCTAGTGTGGCTGCCCACCTGGAACCAGGGTCTAGTCACAGAAACCCAGGACAACCAGTTTATAAATTGTGATTTTGCCTTTTTATTTCAAAAGGTATTTTTTGTGAAACAAAAGGTTTTAATTTCAGAGTCAAATTTATCAAGTTTTTTTTATAGTTGATGCTACTTGAGTCCTGTTTAGAAAATTTTTCCCTAACCAAATTTTTTCTTTCTTTTTTTTTTTTTTTTTTTTTGAGATGGAGTCTCGCTCTGTCACCCAGGCTGGAGTGCAGTGGCACCATCTCGGCTCACTGCAACCTTCGTCTCCCAGGTTCAAGTGATTTTCCTGCTTCAGACTCCCAAGTAGCTGGGATTATAAGCACCTGCCACTATGCTTGGCTAATTTTTGTATTTTTAGTAGAGACAGGGTTTTGCCATGTTGGCCAGGCTGGTCTCGAACTCTTGACCTCAGGTGATTCACCTGCCTCGGCCTCCCGAAGTGCTGAGATTACAGGAGTGAGCCACCGTGCCCGGCCAACCAAATTTCTTAAAAGTATAGAAAAATTTCCACACTTATAGAAACTTCTAGTAGATAAACATGTGTTAGAGGTTTGGTAATCCAGTCTTTCCCGTAGCCACTTTATAGGTGTCACTGTAAGTAGTCTCACTTTTTGTTAAGCACTGTTTTCTCAAAGATACCATTGTTTCGTACCACTTTACAATACAATTACCCTCATTTGGAATGACAAGTCAGATTACTTTTGTTGTTTGATCCAAGGACACTTGGAAGATGGAGGGTATTTCTTAAGGAAGAAAATTTGCATACTTTATTATTTATCTGGAAACTGAAGAGCATGCTTACCGGATAGATTTGGGTTGATAGTTATACTTTCTAGTTCAGCCAGTGGGAGGGTAATGTATTCTTTGACTTTCTAGAAGTTGCTCTATGATACTTAGCTGCCATTGTCTCCCTTCCAGTTCTCTGTTGTTTCTCAAAGAACATAGAAGAGTTTATGAGATTAATTGTTCGCATTGAAATAGCCAGGTTTCTGAGGGCAGCTTTGGCTTTTATATGAGCTTTTTTTCCTCCCACATACCAGTTACTGACAGAGGGTCAACTTCACTGTTGTGCCATTACGGTTGGTCCAATGTCGGATTCCTCAGATTCACGGAGGAAATAGGAAATAGGAAAATAGAAAGATTAAAGAGTCATAGCTAAAAAATTACAAACAAGTCACAAACAACACTCTTTCCTGATTATTTAGGAACCAAATAACCATTGTATGAAATGTCTTTCTTTCCTTCTTCTCTCTTGCTCACCAATTGACTCATAAGCACTTCGGTTCTCTCATATGGGAGCCATACAAGGTAGAGAGTTGGAGTAAAAAATACATTGACACAGAATCATGGTGTGTGACCTCATACACATGATGTAACCTCTATAGGACTCTGTATGATAATGTATAAACCAGGAATAATCCTTCATTATTATGTTTGTAATCTATTACATTGGATAATGGAATGGAGAGTCCCTTGAAGATGGTACCACCTTCAATGTATTACTCCTTTCTAGCGTCTTTGGTTCAAAAGTTTGGTGCAGGAGTTACAAATTCTGGTTTGAATGATACATTTGGATACTTTACATCAAAGCTCTATCTATCCCTTCCACGAATCTCAAAACCAAACTGAATTAACATTTTGACATTTATAATGCAGTTTATGGAGAATTTTAGCATTAATTATTGCTTGATTTATTCAATGTCCTTATGTTATAGATGAGAACTGGAAAACCCATTGAGGTTGTGACTCATGGACTAGAAATGAAGTCTACTTCCAGTTAATGCTTTTTCCAGTATGTCTTTGCTTTCTTCAAATTTCCTTTTTGTAGTTACTGGGTAAATTTTCAACCAACCAAATCACAAAGATGTCGGGCTTTCAATCTTCTAGGCCACGCCTCTTATGCTCTCTCCGCCCTCAGCCCCCCCCACCCCGCTCAGTTCTTAAAGCGCTGCAGTTCGCTGCTGCAGCCATATTTCTTCCTCTCCCGGGGCTGGAAGCTTCCTTACTGAAGATCTCTCTGCACTTGGGGTTCTTTCTAGAACATTTTCTAGTCCCCCAACACTCCTTATGGCGTATTTCTTTAGAAAAAATCACCTAAATTCCATAAAATATTTTAAAAATTCTATACTTTAACCAGGTGTTTTCTTGACACGTCCTCCATATTTTTTTTGAAAGTATTTGGAATATTTTGAGGCAATTTTTTATATTTAAGGAATTTTTTTGGGGGATCATTTTTGGTTGACATCTTTGCTTTTTGTGGGTCAGTCTTCTATTCTTCCACTCTCTTTTCTATATTTGCCCATCGGGGCTGCGGATACCTGGTCTTATTTTTTCTTTGCCCAACGGGGCCGTGGATACCTGCCTTTTAATTCTTTTTTTTACTTGCCCATCGGGGCCGCGGATACCTGCTTTTTTTTTTTTTTTTTCCTTAGCCCATCGGGGCATCGGATACCTGCTGATTCCCTTCCCCTCTGACCCCCCAACACTCTGGCCCATCGGGGTGACGGATACCTGCTTTTAAAAATTTTTCTTTTTTTTGGCTCATCGGGGCTTCGGATACCTGCTTTTATTTTTTATTTTTCCTTGCCCATCGGGGCCTCGGATACCTGCTTTAATTTTTTTTTTTCCTGGCCCATCGGGGCCGCGGATACCTGCTTTGATTTTTTTTTGATCGCTCATCGGTACTTTTTATGGATGAAAAAATGTTGGTTTTGTGGGTTGTTGCACTCTCTGGAATAACTTCACTTTTTTTGCTGCTGATCATTTGGTGGTTTGTGAGTGTATCTACGCCTTTGACAGGGGAATGACTCTGCAGTTAAGCTAAGGGCGTGTTCAGGTTGTGGAGGAAAAGTGGCCGCCATTTTAGACTTGCCGCATAACTCGGGTTAGGGCTAGTTGTTTGTGCTAATTATAAACTAGGGAGGCAAGATGGATGTTAGCTGGTTAGGCAGAGGAAGTCATGTGCCTTGCATGAGCTAAACCTATCTGAATGACGATTTGGGGCTTTTTAGGAGCTTTGCGTGATTGTTGTATCGCGAGGCAATAAGACAGAATCGTCTTGTATCAGTACAAGGGACTAGTTGAAAATGAGAGATTCGAAAAGACTAAGGTGCAGGACTTAAAATGGCGATTTTGACATTGCGGCATTACTCAGCATGGCGGGCTGCGCTTTGTTAGATTGTCTAAAATGGCGGATCCAGTTATGTCGCAGCGTTCAAGTGGCGGGAGGCCACATCATGATGGGCGAGGCTTTGTTACAGTGGTTAGCATGGTGGTGGACATGTGCAGTCATACAGGAAAAAATGGCGGCTGAAGGTCTTGCCGCAGTGTAAAACATGGCGGGCCTCTTTGTCTTTGCTGTGTGCTTTTCGTGTTGGGTTTTGCTGCAGGGACAATATGGCAGGCGTTGTCATCTGCATATCATGGCTCTTGTCACGTGGATATCATGGCGGGCTTTTGCTCTGTGCAATCATGGCGGGCTTGCCGCATTGTTAAAGATGGCGGTTTTTGCCGCCTAGTGCTGTGCAGAGCGGGAGAAAAGGTGGGATGGACAGTGCTGGATTGCTGCATAACCCAACCAATTAGAAATGGGGGTGGAATTGGTCACAGCCAATTAGAGCAGAAGATGGAATTAGGCTGATGACACTGTCTGGCTACTCAGCGAGTACTTGGGTGAATTAGCATAGCACTTTGCAGATGTCTTTAGCTAGTCAGGAGTGGAGGGGCCACTTGTATGTCTCCCATTGGGCGGTACATAAGGTATTTTCAAGGTCTTTTCAAGGATATTTGGTCTTTTCACCTCTGTCCCCTTTCATTTGTCCCCCTCCTGTCCAGTACTGCGTCTTGCAGTGCTGGATATATGGCTGTGTGGTCAGAACCTCACTCCATTCCTCCGTATTGGTGCCTTGCCTAAGGCTAAGTCTGTTAGCCCCCATCCCCCACTCCCCACCCCCACCCCCACCCCCCTCCCCCGCCGCCCCACCCCCTCTGGTCTGCCCTGCACTGTGGCCATTGGCAGTGCTCCAGGCATGCTTGGTGTGGACGTGGTGGTGAGCGGTGGCAAGGACCAGAATGGATCGCAGATGATCGTTGGCCAACAGGTGGCAGAAGAGGAATTCCTGCCTTCCTCAAGCGGAACACACTTACCCCTTGGCTAATGCTGGGGTCGGATTTTGATTTATATTTATCTTTTGGATGTCAGTCATACAGTCTGATTGTGTGGTTTGCTAGTTTGAATTTAAGTCTTAAGTGACTATTATAGGAATGTATTATGAGGCTTTATTTGTAGAATTCATTTTAATTACAGTTAATGAGTTTTCATTTTGCGTTCCTTAAAATTCCTTAAAGTTTTCAGTTTCTCTTTAGAAATTCCTTGACCTTTTTTTGGCAGTAGTCAAAGTCAAATCATTTACAATTTAAAAAAATTGATGATTATTTTCTTTGAAATTGACTTAACTACTTTCCTTTGGATTTTTGAAGAGTTGTAGCACAGAAACAGTTAAAAATTTAACTTCGTGACCTAATGTAAAAAAGAGTGTTGACCTAATGTAAAAAAGAGTGTTTGAAGGTTTACACAGGTCCAGGTCTTGCTTTGTTCCCATCCTTGATGCTGCACTAACTGACTAATCACCTACTTATCAGGCAGGAAACTTGAATTGCTGTGGTCTGGTGTTCTCTATTCAGACTTACTAAATTGGAGTATTAACGTCCATATTTCACTTTTCTATTGTATCCTGCCTGCGTAGTTTCCAGTTCTTCCCCAGCCCTCCCAGCAAACCCCCAGTCTAGCCCTAGCCCTTCTCTCCCCACCCAGCTCTGCCCCAGCCCCAGTCCCCTAGTGCCCCAGCCCTAGCCCCAGTCCCAGTCCTAGCCCTTGAGTCCCCCAGTCCTGCCCAGCTTCTCTCGAAAGTCACTCTAATTTTCAAAATAAGTCGTCCATTGTTTATCCTATTACACTGGGATATTCTGTTTACCCTTGGCATTGCTGAATTTCTGTACTGACTCCTTGACCATTTTCAGTTAATGCATACAATCCCATTTGTCTGGGGTCTCAGAACAAAGAATTTCTTTACCCGGTACGTTGAGGTTAGGGAATATTAATTGAGAGCTTTCTATCAGAGCATTATTGCCCATAATTTGAATTACTTATCGTTTTCTCAATCCCTTGCCCTTAAAGGAGAAACCATTTATCTGTCATTGCTTCTGTAGTCATAGTCCCAATTTTGAGTAGTGGCTTTTTCTCACGTACTGTGTTGCCACCTAAAACTGTGCAGTGAGTAAAATTCTGATTACCAGTAATCCTGCCCATTGGATTAGACAGCACTCAACTCCATTTGCATTCAGCAGGGGGTCTCAGACAACCCAAGTCTTTTGTTGAACAGTTAAAATGCTCAGTCACAATTGTCATAGCTTTAACTATTAAACAAAGGCACCCTACTGCGCTTTTTGCTGTGCTTCTGGGGAATCCTGCAGTTCTTGGATAATTAAAGAACCAAGTAGTAATTGTTAATTGTCTCACCCATTAATCATAAAGACTTCCAGTCACCTTTGCATTTGCCTTCAGGCAGTGCTGACTACCTGAGATTTAACAGTGTCGGAAATTACTGAGTAAACTCCTAATTATCCATAGTTCTGTTAGTTACACTATGGCCTTTGCAAACGTCTTTGCACAACAGCAGAGGGACTCATTCTTAGAGCCCCTTCTCTTGGACTGTTAATGGATACAATAGTAATTATTCATGGTTCTGCCTAACAGAAAAGACCAACTTATGTATGCCCTTAACATTACTCCTAGTTAGTGTGAACTACCTACAGCTTTGCATTAATATGTAAAACACTAATTGTCCATGGTCCCATCCATTAGTCTAGGTTGTCCCCTTTGCCATTGCTGCTGAGTTCTGACTACCCAAGTTTCTTTCTCTTAAACAGTTGATCCCTGGTGGTCTAGTGGTTAGGATTTGGCGCTCTCACTGCCGTGCCCGGGTTCAAAAAGAAAAGAAAAAAAAAAAAAAACAGTTGATACATATAATTGCATATATCCATGGTTCTGTGCAATAAAAATGGATTCCTACCGCATCCTCTGGGATGTTGCTAATGAGAGCAGATTATTCAGTAACAGCTCTTGGACAGCTAATTGCTCAGTTGCAATTGTCCAGAGTCCTGTCCATTAGAAAGGGCCGCTGTATCCTATTTGCACACTACAATGTGGGCTGATCACCCAAGGACTCTTCTTGTGTATTGATGTTCATAATTGTATCTATCCACGACCATGTGCACTAACCCTTCCACTCCCTTTGTATTCCAGCAGGGGACCCTTAGTATACAAGACCTCTGTACGAGGGCAGTTTATGTGCACAATCCTAACTGATTAGAAGTGAGTCTTTTATATCAAGGTTCCTGTACCATCTTTGCTTTACATCAAGAGGGTCCTGATTACCTAATGCCCCTCCTCCAGAAATTATTGATGTGCAAAATGCATTTGTCCCTATCTTGTATTAGTCTGGGATCTCATCCCCTCATATTCCTTTTGTCTTACAGCAGGGGGTACTTGAGACTGTTAATGCGCATAATTGCAATTATCGTCTCTTCCATTAAATTAAGATCCCAACAGCTCACACCCTCTTGGCATTATAGTAGAGGGTGCTAATCACAAGGACATTTCTTTTGTACTCAATGTTCTACGTGGATTTGTCCTTCTTTCTGTGCACTAAAGACCCCACTCCTTGTGTTCAGCAGTGGATGACCTCTACTCAAGACCTCTGCACTAGGATAGTTAATGTGAACCATGGCAATTGCTCACAACAATGTCTTTCAGATCAGATCCATTGCACCCTCCTTGTTTTACAGCAAGGGGTATTAATTACCTATGTTACATTTCCCTGGGACTGTGAATGTGCAAAATTCCAATGTTCATGGTCTCTCCCTTTAAACCAATATTCTACCCCTTTTACATTACAGAAAGGGATGCTAGCAACCCAAAGTCTTTCTCTTGGGACTCTTAATGTGTATATTTCTAATTGTCCATGACTCTTCATGTCCATGCTTTCAATTGTCTATGGTCCCTCCCAATAAGCTAATGTCTTAACTTCTCAGTATCGTACCAGGGGTTACTGTTTGCCTAAAGCCTTTTTTGAACTTTTAATGTGCAAAATTGCCCTGAGGCCGGGTGTGGTGGCTCACAGCCGTAATCCCTGCACTTTGGGAGGCTGAGGTGGGAGGATGCCCTAAGGCCAGAAGTTTGAGACCAGCCTGGCCAACATATAAAGAAAAAAAGCAAAACAATTGCTCAGGAATTCCATCCCCCTCCCACCTCCTTGGCAAAGCAGCAGGAGTGCTAACTAGCTAGTGCTGCTTCTCCTATACTGCTTAAATGCACATAATTAACAATAGTTGATGTGCCCCAGTGTTAGAGTAGAATCCTGGGTCCTTGCTCCATTTGCATTACTGCAGGAGCTTCTAAATAGCCTGAATTCACTCTCGTACTGTTAATGTGCATACTTATATTTGCTCTTATACCTTTTTACCAAGTAAGGACACCACCCACTCTATTTACATTCCAGCAGGAAGTACCTACTACTTAAGATCCTTAGATTAGTAAAGTTAGCATGCATAATCTTAGTTGTTGCATGCACATTTTCAGTTGTCTACAGCTGTGCCTTTTATCAGGACTCCTGTACTTATCAAAGCAGAGAGTGGTAACCAACATTAAGCCCTTCTCTTCAGACTGTAGATGCATATAATTGCAGTTGTCAATGGTCCTTCGATTAGACTTGGGTTTCTGACCTTTCACACCCTCTTTGCTTTACTGCATGGGGTACTATTACTTAAGGCCCCTTTCTCAAACTGTTAATGTGCCTAATGACAATTACTTTAGGATCCTTCCTTTTGACACTCCTTTTGAAGGACAGCATGGTTGGTGACACCTAAAGCCCCATTTCTTGGCCTCCAATATGTATGATTGTATTTGTCCAGGTTGTTATGCACTAGAGAAGGAAAGTCCTCCCCTCATCCCCATTTTCATTCTAGCAGGAAGTGCCCACCCATAAGACCCTTTTATTTGGAAAGTCTAGGTGCACAATTGTAAGTGACCACAAACATGCCTCTTGGACATTAATGTGTGTAATTGTGCACTGCTCATTCCATGTGAAATAGGTCCTACTCTCAGACCACTTTTGCAGTACAGAAGGGGTGCTAATAACCAAGTCCCCTTTTCTTGGCCTGTTATGTGTGATTATAATTGTCTGGGTTCCTATGCACTAGAAAAGGAGGGTCCTCTCCACATATCTCAGCAGGGAGTGCCCACTCCCTAAGACCCTCACATTCGGACAGTCAAGGTGCATGATTGTTAAGTGAATACAACCATGCACTTTAGACATGGATGGACATAACTACACACAGCTCATCACAGCTGAATAAAATCCTACTTTCAGACCCCTTTTGCAGTACAGCAGGGGTGCTGATCACCATGGCCCCATTTCCTGGCCTGGTATGTGTGTGATTATATTTGTCCCGGTTTCTGTGTATTAGATGTGGAAACCTCCCTTGCCACACCCCACCCCCAATCTCTCTTTCCCTTCTAGCAGGGAATGCCTGCTCCGTAAGACCCTTACATTTGGACAGTTAAGGTGCACAATTATAAGTGACCACAACCATGCACCTTGGACAATTAATGTGCGTAACTGCACACGGCCCATCTCATCTGAATAAGGTCCTACTCTCAGACTCCTTTTGCGGTACAGCAGGGGTGCTGATCACCAAGGCCCTTTTTCCTGGCTTGATATGTGTGGGATTATATTTGTCCTGGTTCCTGTGTAATAGACATGGAAGCCTCCCCTGCCATACCCTACCCACAATCTTCCTTTCCCTTCCAGCAGGGAGTACCTGCTCCATAAGACCCTTACGTTTTGACAATCAAGATGCACAATCGTGAAGTGACTACAGGCATGCACCTTGGACATTGATGTGCGTGACTGCACACGGCCCATCCCATCTGAATACGGTCCTGTTCTCAGACCCCTTTTGCAGTACAGCAGGGGTGCTGGTCACCAAGGCCCCTTTTCCTGGCCTGTTATGTGTGTTGATTATATTTATCTCAGTTCCTGTGTAATAGACATGGAAGCCTCCCCTGCCACACCCCATTCCCAGTCTTCCTTTCCCTTCCAGCAGGGAGTGCCCATTCTGTAAGACCCTTACATTTGGACAGTCAAGGTGCACAATTGTAAATGACCACAGGCATGCACCTTGGACATTAATGTGCATAACTGCACACGACCCATTCCATGTAAATAAGGTCCTACTCTCAGACCCCTTTTGCAGTACAGCAGGGGTGCTGATCACCAAGGCCTCTTTCCCTGCCCTATTATATGCGTGATTGTATTTGTCTGGGTTCCTGTATATTAGAAAAGGAAGCTTTTCCTGCCCCACCCCCACTCCCAGTCTTCCTTTCCTCTGCAGCAGGGAGTGCCCACTCCATAAGACCCTTACATTTGGACAATCAAGGTGCACAATTGTAAGTGACCACAGCCATGCACCTTGGACATTGATGTGCATAACTGCACATGGCCCATCCCATCTGAATAAAGTCCTACTCTTAGACCCCTTTTGTGGTACAGCAAGGCTGCTGAACACCAAGGCCCTTTTGTCTGGCCTGATATGTGTGTGATTATATTTGTCCCGGTGCTTGTGTAATAGACACGGAAGCCTCCCCTGCCACACCCTAACCACAATCTTCCTTTCCCTTCCAGCAGGGAGTGCCCGCTCCGTAAGACCCTTAACATTTGGACAATCAAGGTGCACAATTATAAGTGACCACAGACACGCACCTTGGACATTGATGTGTGTAACTGCACATGACCCATCCCATCTGAATAAGGTCCTATCCTCAGACACCTTTTGCGGTACAGCAGGGGTGCTGGTCACCAAGGCTCTTTTTCCTGGCCTGGTATGTGTGTGATTATATTTGTCCCGGTTCCTGTGTAATAGACATGGAAGCCTCCCCTGCCACACCCCACCCGCAATCTTCCTTTCCCTTCCAGCAGGGAGTGCCCGCTCCATAAGACCCTTACATTTGGACAGTCAAGGTGCACAATTGTAAGTGACCACAGGCACGCACCTTGGAATTGATGTGCGTAACTGCGCACGGCCCATCCCATCTGAATAAGGTCCTGTTCTCAGACCCCTTTTGCAGTACAGCAGGGGTGCTGATCAACATGGCCCCTTTTCCTGGCCTGTTATGTATGTGATTATATTTCTCCGGGTTCCTGTGTAATAGACATGGAAACCTCCCCTGCCACACCTCACCCACAGTCTTCCTTTCCTTTCCGGCAGGAAGTGCCTGCTCCATAAGACTTATGTTTGGACATTCAAGGTGCACAATTGTAAATGACCACAGGCACGCACCTTGGACATTGAGGTGCATAACTGCACATGGCCCATCCTATCTGAATAAGGTCCTACTCTCAGACTCCTTTTGCAGTACAGCAGGGGTGCTGATTACCAAGGCCCATTTTCCTGGCCTGTTATATGTGGGATTATATTTATCCAGGTTTCTGTGTACCAGACAACGAAGCCTCCTCTGCCCCACCGCACCTACCTGCAGTCTTTTCCTCCCAGCAGGGAGTGCTCTACAAGACCCTTACATTTGGACAATAAGGTGCACAATTGTAAGTGACCACAGGCACGCACCTTGGAAACTGATGTGCATAACTGCACACAGCTTATCTTATTTGAATAAGGTCCTACTCGTAGACTCCTTTTGCAGTATAGTTGGGGTGCTGATCACTAAGGCTCTTTTCTTGGCTTGTCCATATTCCTGCCTACTAGATAAGGACACCTTCTCATACACTCTCTGCTTTTCAACAGGGAGTACTCACTGCTTCAAGATTCTTACATTTTTCCAAAGTACATGGTTTTAATTGACCACAGCAATGTCCCTTGGACATTAATGTACATAAGCACCACAAGGTTCATCCTAATTAAACAAAGTCTTACCCTCTCACCCTCCACTTGCAGTTTACCAGGGTTGCTGACCCCTAAGTCCCCTTTTCTTGACTTGTTGATATGCATAATTGCATTTATGTGGGTTCTTGTACCCCAGATAAGGATGTTCCACCTCTTTTCAATACTGGGTGCCAACTCCTTATGATAATTACATTTGGACAGTTAATGTGAATGATTGCAGCTGTCCGTAACCCTATCACTTCTTGGACAATTGTACCCCCTTTGGATTACTTGGGGCATACCACTTTCCTCCAAGGCCCCTTTTGGTGAACTATTAATATACATAATTGAAATTTTCGTTTCTCTTTGTCAGTAGATTAAGGTCATACCCCCTCACCTGTCCTTTGTAGTACAGCAGGATGTCCTGATCAACCAAACTCCTGTTGTTGTGGACTGTTAATACATGCAATTACATTTGCTTGTGGTCTGTGCACTAGATAAGGATCCTACCTACTTTCTTAGCATTTTTAGCAGGTAGTCCCCACTTTTCAAGACTCTTTCACTTGGAATGTTCATGTGCACAAACACAATTTTCTAAGCATGTTCCTGTACCTTCTTTGCTTTTAGAGCAAAGTGTAATAGACATGGAAGCATCCCCTGCCACACCCCACCCACAATCTTCCTTTCCCCTCTGGCAGGGAGTGTCCGCTCCATAAGACCCTTACATTTGGACAATCAAAGTGCACAATTGTAAGTGATGGGGATGCTATTCACTTAATGCCCCTTGTTTTGGACTTAATATGCATTAATGCAATTGTCTGCCTCTTCTTTTAGACTAAGACTTGATTTCCACATACTTCTCTTCCATCAGGGGCATGTTAACTATGAATGGACCCTTTTCTTTTTAATATTAATGTCATAATTCTATTTGTGGACCTGTGTAGTAGAAAAAGACCCTGTGTTCCTACCACTATGCTTTGGATTGCTACTGAGGAGTGCTAACTACTCATAATCTCAGCTCTTGGACAATTAACATGCAATAATAACAATTATCAAGGGTACTGATTATTAGATAAGATTCCTCGATCTTTTTTGCATACATCGGGGATACTGACCCACTAAGGTCCCTTGTACTATTAATGTGCATATTTGTAATTACACATGTTTCCTTCTGTTAGAGTGGGATATTATGCCCTTGTACCCTCTTTGTATTACTGCAGGGGCTGCTGACTACTCAAAACTTCTCCTGGGACTGTTAATAGGTACAATGGCAGTTATCAATGGTTTTTCCCCTCCCTGACCTTGTTAAGCAAGCACCCCACCCCACCCTACCCTCAGTTCCCATGGCATAATAAAGTATAAACATTGCAGTATTCCATGCACTTGTCCCTCAAACAGTGGTCCATACTCCCGCCCCATTTGCATTGCTCCAGTGTGTAAAATCACAGGTAGCCATGGTGTCACGCTTTACATCCTCGCCCTGCCCCTTGTGTGCCCTTGGCCCCTTTTTACAGACTATTGTTCACAATCTCAGGTGTCCATATATTCAGCTATTAGATAAGATTATGTTCTCTCCCTTCTCCCTTCCCCCTACCGTGCCCCTTTTGCCTCTTTGCTGGGTAATGTTGACTGGACAAGGCCTTTTCTCTTAGACTTAAAAAATTATCAGTGGCACTTTCCTTGGTCCCACCCATTATACATGAACCCCTCTACTTTCTTTCGCATTGCTTCTGAGTAGCGCTGACTACCCAAAGCCCCTTCTGGGTTATTAATGAACACAGTACCGATTGTCCCATTTTTCAGCACATCAGTCCAAGAGCTCCCTACCACTTTGGTGTGTTTGTGCAGTGTTGACTATGAAAAGCAGGCCTGAACTAAGTGGATAAGCCTTCACTCTTTTTCTTTCATTTATTAATGATCCCAGTTTCAATTATTATCAGATTCTGAGGACAAGAACCATTCTTGCCCACCTCTGTTACTGCTTTACTGTGCAGAGTACTCAAAGCAAGTCAGACCCAGGAAGCTGGATTGCCATCTTCTATTTTGTGTTTCTAGTGCACACTATCAAATTGCCTCCCCAAGAAGGAAGGTTGGCACTTCCTCTGCATTCTTCTTTCCAGAGAAGATTGCCTGGTTAAAGAATCTCTTGTCATCTCTTTTGTATATTGTTATTGTAAAGTGCCAAATGCCAGGATACAGCCAGAAAAATTGCTGTTGTGATTATTTAAAAAAAAAATTTAAGAAAGACATCTGGATTGTAATGTGGACTCAATAACCTGGTCATTATTTTTTGAAGCCAAAAATCCATTTATACTATGTACTGTATGACCAGTGTCATTTTAACTGAGGGTGGTGAGTCTGTGGATAGACCACTGTGACTCTTGCTATTTTAATATTATCAAAGGCTTTCTAGAGTGAAACTCTTAAGACCAGCATCTTTGTGTGGGCTTTACCAGCATTCACTTTTAGAACTACCTACATTTTATAATCCTTTAATTTCTTCACCTGGAGCACCTCCCCCTACTTATTTCGAGAAGATTGAAGTAAAACGATTAAATAAGAAAACGTATGCAGAGGTGCTTTTAAAAGAAGATGCCACCTTTTTGATTAATCTATTATGTAAAATGAAGAATCTAATTATACTAAAAATTTGAAGTAGTTTGAAGTATCACACTGAAGGTGAGGACTTAAAAATGATGGAACCAGTTCCCTATTTCATAAAAAAAATAAGCCAAAATTAAATACTATATTGTATATAAATTTCAAAAGTGAGACAGCTGCCTAATAGAAATGAATAATATCCCAGCCACTAGTGTACAGGGTGTTTTGTGGCAAAGGAGTATGTAATATGGAACTGCTCAAGCAAATTAGTCCTCACAACAGTAGTTCTTTGTAATAACTGAAAAAGAATACTGTTTCTCTGAGAAGGATGTCAAAAGATCGACCCAGCTCAGGGAGCAGTTTGCTCTACTAGCTCCTCGGACAGCTGTAAGAAGAGTCTCTGGCTCTTTAGAATACTGTAAGTACTACTTTATAGCTATTAAGTAATCTTTTTCCTATTCTATTTTCTTTCTCTTAGATGCCACCTATAGAAAAGTCAGAGGGTCCAGTAAGTTTCTTTCCTTCTTCCCACCTCATCTGCAATATATATATATATATGTATATGTAGATAGATGCATACATAAATATGCACATGTGAGTTAACCAGCAAAACTGTAGAATTAATATTGTGAACCCAGCTCTATGCTAGGTTACACTGATAACCTGGGTAGGAATGATATTGTCTTTTATAATTTCATTCCTGAGATGGTTGTATTGTTGAGGAGCTAATGTAAGCACACTTGAAATAACTTTAGAAAATAATAATCAAGTGGTGTTTTGTGTGAACCATACGTAGTAGATTTAAGAAGGGAACCCACAAGGATTTGAAGTTGATAGGATAAACTTAAAGAAGTGGGTTTGCTTTTTCTCTTTAAGCCAAGATAGGATTAATACTGCAGCCATCTTGATAGTCTAGTTGGTTTATTTTAATGTCATTTGTTTTTTACCTCTTTTGAAGCCATGGAAAGAGATTAAAGGGATAGGGCATAGCCATTGTGTTTGCCAAGGCTGGCAAATTAGTGATTGTTAAATCTCATAAGCTTGAGTATTTTAAAGTTCAGAGATTGAAGGTATAAATCTAATACTTTGGCTCTTTGCACAATTTTGCTACATTTCTGCCCAAGAACAGATGATCATGGATAATGAATATCATAGATACATTTTTTTAGTTTGGAATCTTTTTGCCAAGAGGGTAGTGGAGAAGTGTAAGTCAAAACCTTGACCTTCCTTGTCTACTTTATGCTGTAGTTTATATACACTCTTTCCTCCCACCTTTTGCAAAGCTAAAAGAATCTTAGCCTCCTTAATGTAAAACAAACACAATGGTCCAGCTGAAAAACTGTTTAACATAACATTTGAAACTTTTTTTCTGGTGCACATTCATGTGTCGCAGCAGGAGCAACAAGAACTATGTCAATGAACTGGCTTCACTTATAGCCCATTTTAATTCATATCCCTATTTCCTCATGGCTTGTTTCCATGCCCCCTACCCCCTTCTCCAGATGCTTAACGACATTGTCTGGCTGACTGGGGATAACATCATGGTTTTGAGCCTTCTTGGAAACGTGGTCTGTGCCATTGTTTCTCAAACTTAATGTTTCAGGATGAAACACCTTCTAAAGGAACAAAATTTTCTGAGATCCTAAAAAAACATGTTTTGAGGAACACTGAATTAACAGTTATTTGAAATGTAAATATGTTTTCCAATTTCACATTGTCTTTGCCAAAGATGTGTTTTGTGTAATTCATGCAGAACTTGGGGATCCATGAGAATATACCCCAAACCCCCAGGGTTACCACCCTGATTTGAGAAACACTGGTCTATGCTTATGAAATCTTCTATTGCTAATTAAATTGTCATTCATTGTCAACATGCAGCTATAATTATTATTGAATTTGTTATAAAGAAATGAATTTAGAGATGATTCTGTGTCTTAGCTCAAGAAGAAGGATGGCTCGATTTTAGGTGGATTGATTCTACTAGATAGCTTCCAAAGGTGAATCTTGAAGCTGTATTTAAATTAATTGCTTGAAATAATTTCCACCTTTAAGAAAAATCTCTAGCAGTTATAAAAGGGGATGCTCTGGAAATGTGGGCATCTTCAAAATAGAGATAATTCTTGTGTTAATCCAACAAATGTTATTGTGCCAGGTGCTGCAATAAATAGCAAAACCAAATACATGATTTCTATCTAGGAATTTGCTTTCTCATGGAGGATGCAGAAGGAAATCATTACGGTGTTGGGCAGAAACACCTAGATTTTAGTCCTGGCTCTCACTTTGGTTCAAATCACCATCAGGCTGACCATCTCGAGATTGCCAGTGAAATAAGATAGGGGCTTAAATCAAATACTTCAATCCCTGAAAGTGACATTTTGTCATTCGGAAAATTTTCAAAAGACTAATAAACATTTTTTTCCACATTTTTCTAAATGATTATTGTAATTTCTTTTCTGACTTTTCCCTTTATAAAACCTTGACATGTAGGACTGGAGGAAGTTTTCTGACCATTTTCTCATATCCCCTTTCAGCTTTATCTTTCTGCAACTTCCATTTCTCTAGCCACCTCCCAAAATTACAGACGACTATGAGACCCAGGGCTGCCGTGATCAGGCATTCATAATTTCTTTTCAGGGTGTTTGTGCCCTGGTTATCAAATGTACACCTGGATTGGAGTTTTGTGTCTTAAAGTAATGAATTAAGAGTTGACCTTTGTTGACTGCTAAAACAGTCTTACATGTGAAAGCATCCTGGGAAAATCTGTTACCAGCTTAAAGAGAAAGAAACTAATGATTATATCTGAACTGAGCTAATGTTCCCCCAAACTTTATAAGTTTGGATGTCAAAAAGTAATGATATGTATAGTTAAACAGGGCTAATGACTTCCTCTGTCTTGTCTTAAAGACTGGATTGGGAGAAAATTGACCAGTGCTAGACTTTATTATGGGTAGACTTAAAGTATTTCCCTTAACCAATTACAATGCTGTTCTTCTAGTGTCCCCAGAAATATGAGAGGTTATGTAGTACACCAAATAATACCCTCTTATTGCATAATCTAATAACATGCTTATAATAATTTAAAAATAGGGATATGACTGAAATATCACTGCACTTTACCAGGTCCCATTATAAAATATCTAGGTTACTTTACCCATAACTTTGAAAATTATTGGCATAGTATATTTTATAGAATGTTGTTAGTGTGATTGGCATGGTACAGTGCTGGGATGTAATCACTCATTAAAGTTTTCCAGCCTTACAGGTCTCCCCTGACTGAAAATCAGCTACTCACTGACTTATTTATTACAGCAGATTGACGACTTCTTTCCAGGAAATCTGCTATGTACAAAAACAAAGCTTAATTGCCAATGTTTTTTTAAAAACAACTTTTTTATATTATGGATACCTGGTAATTTGTATATTTTAACATCAAAATTACCTATTACAAACCCATATAAACAGAAAAGAAAGAGTAAGTCTTTAGGCCAAGACTTACTGCAAAGAATGATGGTACCTACTATAGCAAAGTTTGGAACATAGACTTACCAGTTCTCAGGTTCCATTTTGCTTGCTTTTTAAAAAACTATGTCTTAAACGTCTTCAACATTTGGTTGGGAGATTTTTGGAAAAAATAACCTTTTAATGTTAGAACAGTGTAGAGATTTACAGAATGATTCTGAAGATAGAGTTTCTGTGTCCTTCACACCCAGTTTTTCCCAGTGTTAACATCTTACATTAGTTTGGTACGTTTGTCACGATTAACAAACCAATATTGATACATTATTATTAACCAAAGTCCATACTTTATTCATATTTCCTTAGTTTTTCCTTAATGTTCTTTTTGTGTTCCAGGATTCCATTGAAGATACCACGTTGCATGTGTCCTTAGTAGTCATGCCCCCTTTGGCTCTCTTGGTAATGACAGTTTCTCAGACTGTTTGTTTTTGATGAACTTCACAGTTTTGAGAACTAATGGTCCAGTGTTCTATAAAATGTCTCTCTCTATTTGAATTTGTCTGATGTTCCTCTCATGATTAGATTGGGTTTATGAGTCTTTAGGAGGAAGACTACAAAGGTAGAGTGCCATTTATCAAGAGTACATACTATCAACATGAGGTACTATTTGTCAGGTTTCTCCATCATAAAATTAGCCTTTATTTTTCCATTTCCATACTGTACTCTTCACATAGGAAGTCACTATGTGCAGCCAGCACTTAAGGAATGGGAAATTATCTTCCACTTCTCGGAGGGAAGAGTATTTACATAAATTATTTGGAATTCTTTTGCATGGGATGTCTTTTCTTCACAATATATGTGTTTATTCAGTCTTTTATATCAGTATGATCTCATGGATATTTTATACTCTGGGTCATAATACAATTTTACTTTATTCTGTTCAAATTAATACAGCTTTGGCCATTGGGAGTTCTTTCAGTTGGCTTTGATATAACCCCATGAAAGTGGGTTTTTTGCTTGAGCACTTATTTTTGGCACTACAAGATGCTCCAGGCTCATTTGCATATCTCCTGCCTGGACCTAGAATGATGTATTTCTCCGAGGAACCTTGTTACCTTTTATTGGAGAATGATATTAGAAATCAAGAAGTGAGTGCTAGGTGTGCTCATTGCTCCTGGAGTGTCATTCCTTCAAGACTTTTTCAGTTGACAAGAGCAAGAGATATATGTTTGCACTCTCACTTGTATATATGCACAAATCTATAAATATATATAACCATTTGTATCTATAGTAAACTAAATGTGTTTATACCTACATCTCCAACTCTAATCATTGCCACATAGATCATTATAGCCTCACCTCCTTCCTTATCTGTTACCTCTCATTTTTACAGTGAGAAACCTGGCTTAGTTGGGAAATTTTTCTGTTAATATTAGAGTAATGAGTGTTTGACATTTGCTTCTATGGTTAAGTTTAGGGAGAGTTTAGCTGTAGGGTATTCTTGAAACTACAAATGACCCTTCTACCCTAAATGTTTCTGCTAGTTTTGAAACTTAAAACAGGTTGCAGAAACAAACTTTATCTTAACCAGAATTTTCTTCAATCCACATTTTAAAATTGATTTTCAGATTAAATTATTCTGATATCACCAGGTACGCTGTTCCTTGGGTGTGCATTTCTTCTTTCAGTTTTTTTTATGAGAGCTAAAGGACCCTGAGAATACTGGAGGTGGGAAAGGAGGGAAAAGGCATGTTCACACGTGGAATAGGAAAGGTCCATTTACTGACCTTCAGCTAGCCTTTCAAAGAGCCTATTTAAGACCCAAGGAGTAGATGCCTTCTTTGGCAATTGTAACCCAAATGCAATTTTTAACCTTTCAGTTTTAGTCAAGAAAGTTGGTGTGCTGATGCAAAAAGTGCTCTGATTAACAGCATTGCCACGTGCATTGCATATGAATCAGCAATTTAGCAACATGAAATTGTGTCGAGCATAATTTTAATGTTGTATATTAAGTATTAGAGACAGTGTTTCTCAAGTCTATAAGTTTGATAGTAGGGAGGTTTTCTTTCAAGAAAAGAATTATTCAGTGTGCACCTACATAACCACCACTTAGATTCTACAATTAATATTTTGCTATATTTGATTAAATGTTTTCTGTAAAAGAAAAATATTATGCACCCTTTAGGTTTGTGGGAATAATTGTTAAAGTGTATGAGCAAACCTGGAAAGAAATATATAGATCTATAATGCAACTGTAAAACATAGCAGATGTACAAATTCGTAGTTAACAGATACTAAAATGCTAATATGGTACTACTATTACGGTTTTATAGCTTCTTTTGAGGGGCATGTCTATACTATCACACGCTGTGTTCATGTACTTCACCAAACTGTGGTTTTCAAACTGCTTGAAATCCTGCTATTATAGCACATAGCAATGCTATTTGACTTTCATTTGGCACAAAACACATTTATATATTGTTTGCTCCTGTTCTTTTCTATAATCCCCAGGCAACAAAACTAGATCATTTGCCGCTAATCCGGCAATGTGTTCTTATATTATGAGGTAGTCATATAGCTGATCTAGACTATCCTTCCAGTGAAATGAGAGTATTGTAAAAGTTTTGTAGCAAGCTCCCATACCCCCCTGAGAATCCATGCACAAACCCCAGAGCTTTAAAAGATGTCTGAATTGAGGGAAGACATGGCTTTAAGTATCACTTGGCCACCTACTATTTGTATAACATTGATATAGTTTCATCTTGTGGATTGCCAGCTTCCTTAGAGAATGAAAATGTTGAATTATGCTGTTATTATTTTGAGATGGAGTTTTGCTTTTTCCCCCAGGCTGGAGTGAAGTGGCACGATCTTGGCTCACTGCAATCTCCACCCCCCAGGTTCAAGCAGTTCTCCTGCCTCAGCCTCCTGAGTAGCTGGGATTACAGGCTCCTGCCACCATGCCTGGCTGATTTTTGTATTTTTAGTAGAGACGGGGTTTCACCATGTTGGCCTGGCTGGTCTCAAACTCCTGACCTCAGGTGATCCACAAGGATCACATAGGCCACTGCACCTGGCCTGTGTGATTGTTAATTATCACTTCTAGCTGTGATGATTCTGTCTGGTGCTGGAGTATTTGAACCAGATGGCTGGCGATACCACTTGATTATTATCTCCATAATACTATGATATTTTGTTGGACTGCAAAGTGACAGATTCTTAAAATTCTTGTCAGTGAATATTGAACCCTAGTGAAACGTATGGTTCTGTATCAGTTCCAAAATGTGACCACTTTCTCTAGCCTTAGATTCCCATTAAGGGAAAGGGAATGCTCCTTGATTATGTCATTACCATAGTAACAGGCAAAGCTAGAGGCTTTGATGCTGAAGCAGGATACTCCATAAATATGGTTAAGAAGATCTGGGGAGACTGGAATAGTTGTTTCCGTTAGATTCCAGTGTATAAATGAATTTGAGCTAGGATCCATTGATTTAAAATTTCTTTAGGTAAATTTGCTTGCACATGGAGTGCACATTGACTTGATTTATGGAGTTTCAGGAAGCAGTAGAACAAATGCATAAACATGTATGAACAGCCATGTTTAACTGGAAGCCTGCATTTGGAAGTGAAGTATCTAATCTTAGATTAAATTAGGATAGACAAGGATGTTGGCAAGATATTTTGAAGCTTGTTCTGGTCCTGTTGAGAACGTCATAGAACAGTTTAGCCTTACTAGACATCTTAGCAAGAGAATAGAGTCGAATAAGTGATCTTCCATATATTCCTGTTGGTATTGCCATAAAGGTTTCCTCATGATACAGTAATCCCTGATCAGGGATCTAGAAGCCTGTATTCATTTAAGGTCCTCAGGTTTAACATACCGGGTGCTTTTCAACACCACACCACACCATGCAAAGTGCTTTCAAGGCTACAAATTTGGCTTAGATCCGCTTTAGTGAGCTCCTATGCTTTAGTAACGGTAGATGGCCAATTATTAAAAACAATGAAGACAATTGCACCTCTAGGTAGTAGTAGCAATTGCCACGTTACCTTGAATCTTGAAGTATTTTCAGCAACAGGATGACCATTAGCCACAAATTTAGTGTCAGTCCTTAAGGTGGATATTGGTTTGACCCATATTTTCATGTAGTTCTATTTCTTGTCTAATCATCACGCGATACCGCCAGGGCTTGTTATTACAGGACCTTAGGGAAATCAAGCAGGCTAGAAAGTAGAGACAAGGTATACTTATGTCTTAATGCTTCAGGTTATACTTTCTAGGTTTTTTTGTTGGGGTTTTTGTAACACTTTTGGTATCCAACTGGTGCTTTTGGTAGCCTACTGAGCCCTGTCTTTCTTCTCAAGGACATTCTGAGTATGTGAGACCTGAAGACTGCAAACATCTTTAAGAGGCTCCAAATTCAGCAGATCTTTCCCTTTGAGAATCTGGCCAAGCTCCAGCTAATCTACCTGGATGGGTTGCCGACCACCTGGAGAAAAAGGTACTTTGGGGAATTTATTGTTGTAGGGCTTCTGTCTTTGGCTTTAACTTCCTACTACTCTCCTTTTAAAGCAGACACATCTGGTCACGGTGGCTCCTGCTTGTAATACCAGGGCTTTGGGAGGCTGAGGTAGGGGGATCGCTTGAGGCTAGGAGTTCAAGACCCCCTGTCTCTACAAAAAATAAAATAAAATTAGCCAGGCATGGTGATGTGTGCCTGTAGTCCTACCTACCTTGGAGGCTGAGACAGCAGCATTGCTTGAGCACAGGAGTTCAAGGCTGCAGTGAGCCATGATTAGCCACTGCACTCCAGCCTAGGTGGCAGAGTGGGACCTAGTCTCTTGAAAGAAAAGAACATGAGCCAGTTTTCATCATTTCCTATACTTTTTCTTTTGCATATACACGTACATTTTAACTTTTCATAATTAGTTTAGCCTGTTTCATTTATCCCTCAGAGCTGGGCTCCATCGAGGTCTGTAAACGCAAGCATACTTGATCCCCATTTCATAAATGAAGAATGAGAGATGGAAAGCAATAAATTATTTCCTTTCTCACCACATAGCTAGTTAGCAAGAGAGATAATGAACTTAACACCTTTTGATTAGTGGACTTAAATTATTCCCACTTTCCTTTGGCGGGAGGGTATTAAGTTCTCAGGATTTGTTTACGAATAATACCAACTTCATCTGTGTTAGCTCTGTTTTGGTAGGCCTAATTCCATTATCACTGCCATTTCCTTGTTTTAAGAAGTTGAAATTTTAACTTGAAAAACAATTGAAATTGTTAAAAAGTGGAATAGGAGAGCCCAGGAGGAGCTGTGTAAGGAATTTACCGAATCTCTAGTCTTCTGTACCTTGTTTTTCCTTCTGCGTAGATTTGCTTAGCTGCTGTTATAACTGGAGTTCGATATGCTTGTGACCATTCTTGGTTTCTCCGAATATCCTAGAACTTTGGTGGTGCCCTATTATACAGGTTGTTGAAGAAATGTTACCATGTGGATTGTGTAGAAAACAATTCTCTTTATCTTGGCAATATTATGGTATGGCACTATTTAAAGTACAAATTAAAAGAGAAGAATGCTGTAAAACTAGCTGACAGGCACTTTGATTGAGGTGGATTGCTCAGTTCTTAAAATAGTGCTTTATAAAAGAAGCCAGAGGCAATATGGAGGAGAATTCTTACAGAATTCATAGGGTTAGACCACACTGGACCTTTTCTGTGTAGCTTCATGACTCTCTTGGTTGAGAAAGCATTAGCTTCTCTTTCCATTAGTTTCAACCTCTTGATTTCTTGACACCCCCCCCATTATATTTTGTGCTTAGAACACAAGGGCATTAATAATCCACACTCTAGAGGATCGCTCATTAATAAAGACTGGAGAATAAAATGCAGCATGGAAGTATTGGTAATTATTCAGTTCTAAATTGCTCTTGGAAATGAGGGAAAGCATACAGAATACAGCTGTGACGAATAGGAGAATTCTTTTGCTAGGCTGGTAGCTAGAATACAACAGCTCGGCACAGCTGTAAATGTCCACTCCTCAATCCACATGAAGAAAAGGGTAAACGTGGTTGAACTCAACCACTAGTTGCCCATTCGGACAGACTTTCCCAGTGTACTACATTTCAATACTTTTTCTTTTGTCTCTTTTTCAGATCTTCCTCAGAAGAATAGGCTTGTTGCTTTATACAGTGTTAGTGACCCATTCCCTTTGACGATCCCTAGGTGGAGATGGGGCATGAGGATCCTCCAGGGGAAAAGCTCACTACCACTGGGCAACAACCCTAGGTCATGAGGTTCTGTCAAGATACTTTCCTGGTCCCAGATAGGAAGATAAAGTCTCAAAGACAACCACCACATGTCAAGGTGCGTAAGCTGTCCCTAAAAGCATAATCAGTAGTCTTAATTTTGATTTTGTTTTCCAGTATACATTGCATTTAGCTTTTCACTGAGGTTGTATTCATTATTATCCTGCGTATGATTTGGTAAAGACAGCTTCGTAACTAACCTGGGAAGCAACTGGGTGTGAGATTGGTTAAAGTGATTATGTAAAGAGTGTAGCAGGTTGTATGTGTTTGGGTGTATGGAGTGGGACTATAGCATGTGGTAGAGGCTTACAGCTAAATTGTTCTTTCTTTTAGGAGAACATGGACAACTGTCACATCAGTGACACTGATCACATGGGCAAATCATTCTGTTCCATCTGGTCTCCAAAGTCTCTCTTAAAGCCTTACAGAAAAACTTTGCTGGTCATTTACATACTTCAAGATGGCCTGGGATGCCATGGGTTACAACACAACAAGTGAGAGGTATGTCTTTTTATGCTATGGTTACTGATTCATGGAGGCCGCATAAATGGAAAAGGGCATCTGACTAAAAATGGCACAAAGTTATCTGTCATCAGGCAGGAGCTTAAAGAACCAGGAACCTATATTCTCTATATCAGTGATGGGAGAGGCTGATTATCGAGTGAGGACTGGCAAATAAAGGTGACTCATTCAGTGCAGTAAATCCTGATCATACAGGCTTTGCCCAGCATTTTTCATAAAGAGTGGGTACGTATAAATTTCATGAAATATTTTCATGGGTAAGAACTCATGAAATATTATAATGGACTAGAAAGACCTGTAGATTTAGAAATAGAGAAAGTTACTAACAGAAATTGTTAGGAAGCCTAGGAACTAGAAAGCTAAGTTGAGAGTTATCTAGGAAGATCTATTGTACTCAGAATCTTTAGGAAAATTCTCCTAAGGCCAGTACCCTATGTGAATTTTCTTTTTCATTTTTGGATATTAGCTGAAATGTTAAACAACCTATGTGAATTTCCTTATTGTGAGAATATTTGCCCCCCAGAGTGATTCACCTTTATCTCAAAGAGAAATGTTAGGAGTTTTGGAAATGCTGCTCTATGGCTGTGTTTTGTTAGTCCTGAACCAGGAGACTTAAATAAAGTAAACTTGAGGTGGTCCTAAAACATTGAAGTGAGCCTTAAACATTGAAAAGACCTTATCATTTTTCCTCTCATATCTATTGTTTATTTTTGTGATCTCAGTTATTAATCATTTAAAGGGATTCTTTTCTAGCTGATTGGCACTTAAAACAGGATTCTAGTTGTTAACTAAAGGTATAAGGCTATGACTGGTGGTGGTGTCTCTAGTGACTCATCAAGTGATACTTGACAAGATATTTTCCCATTTATGCCAGTTTTCTGTTCTTTGAATGAGGAAATTTTCTCTCTAAAGACCTGAAAATTTTGACTTTATAGGTTTTAAAGTTCTGTGGAAACATTTTCTATTGCTTATTAATTTGAATCTTAGGTAACTCTAGCACAGTATTCAATACTTACGGCATTTACATGGTTTATCTGATGTTTTTTTATAGCTCTTCATCGTTCCTATTTGCCAAATCATTATCCTTCCTACAAGCAGTGCAGAGAGCTGGGTCTTCAACAGGTCCAAGAAACTTGAACATGCTGAAAGAAGTCAGCCTTCTTACCTGAAGATCAACACACATGCCTGGCACTCGAGCACTTAAGGATAGTGGAATGAAGTAAGTTTTTGGTGTTGCATTCCTGTGAGGATCACTTCAGAACTGTTAAAACAGCTGTTTTTTGGGAGCCAGTGTTGGATAGGGTGTGTTGGTCTAATGTTAAATGGGGCTAAATGTGAGATAGGAAGATGACCAGTCTTCCATGTTACCGACTGGGTTCACTGAAGCAGCTCAAAGACATTACAGTCTTCTTACCAGTTGTATCACAGAATAATTTAGCCTTTGCTTGTGTGTTCTACGTCTTCACTGTATAGGCCCTCTGTCATTCTTAGAGCCTTAAACATTGAAAAGCTTAAAACACAATTTCCACTTTCTGCGGAAAGGGTAACCCTTTCTCATCTCCATTTGTGAGAGACTTTATCGTCAGTTAAGATTAGTGTGAAAAGAAAACTAAACTCTGAAGTAGCCATTATAAAAGTGTGAGAATGAAGTCAGTTTTTTAAAGAGTTGGGGAAAGGTGATGCTAAAGGAAGGGATTGACCAAGTCCTATCAAAGAGCCCTTTATGAAAATATTTAGTCATCTGTGACATCCCACTTGGCTCTTCCAGAAATCCTAGTAAATAGTTGTAACAGAATGTTAAGAGGCACACATTGTGTGTTTTAAAGTCTCTGATAGACTTACCTGTTTGTGAGTGTTAAATGAAATCATGTATGTATAGTGTTCACCTAGTGCAGTACCTGGCACATGGCAAGTAAAAGCTAATCCAAGAAGACTCATAAGTTCATTTCATGCAATATAAGTGATCACTAGCACTATCAGGTACCAGGTAGAGTTGGCATGCTCTGGTTCTATGTAAGAAATCCCTAAGGTAAAAGTTTGTAAATAGGAGAACATCTGTGTTGGTGTTGGTGGTTGTTACAATTATTATTATTGTAGTAGTATAAGTAGTGTTGGTAGTAATAATAGCTTATTATAATTACTAATGACACTTTTTGTTTTTTTTTAACCTTTTGTGATGCTTTTCATACCTCTTGTGCCCCTCACAGTGTCTTGTCTCTTCTGCTGCTTACTACCTCTGAATGCCTGCATTTGCTTATCTCTTGCACTCGTGTGTATTTCTTTATCTTTGTTCTTTCTTCTCTTTCTTCTTTGTCTCTCTATATTTCTTCCTTGTCTTTGTTGTTTGTTCTCTATCTAAAGTGTGTTTTACCCATTTCCGTGTTTTTTCTTGCTAATTTCTTTCATGTGTGCCTTTGCCTCATTTTCTCTTGTTCACAAAGAGTGGTCTGTGCCTTGTCTTAGACATAAGTCTCGTTTTTCATTTTGTTGCTGTTTCTCTTTGTTTTCCTAGATGTGGCTGTTCTTTCACGCTTTATTTCATGTCTCCTTTTGGGTCACATGCTTTGTGCTTTTTGTCCGTTTCTTGTTCTGCCAACCTCTCCTTTCTCTGCCTACCTCTTTTTTCTCTTCATGAACTGTGACTATTTGTTATCCCTTCCCCTTATTTGTTGTAAATTTCACCTTTTTCTGAGTCTGGCCTCCTTTCTGCTGTTTCTACTTTTTAATCTCACATTTCTTATTTCTGCATTTCCTTTCTGCCTCTCTTGGGCTATTTTATCTCTTTCCTCCCCTGTGTTCCTCCGTGTCTCTTGCTGTTTGTGATTTTCTATTTCAGTATTAATCTCTGTTTGCTTGTGTTTCTTCTCTGCTTCTTCCCTTTCTACTCACCTTTGAGTATTTCAGCCTCATCATGAGTCTGTCTCCCTCTCTTTGATTTCATGTATTCTTTTCTCCTTAAATATTTCTTTGCATATGTGGGCATGTGTACATGTGTGTGTGTCATGTGTGGCAGAGGGGCTTCCTAACCCCTGCCTGATAGGTACAGAACATTGGCTATCAGAAGTAAGCATTATGGAGTGGTTCCATATGCCAGGCTGCCGTGTGAGATGATCCAAGACCAAAACAAGGCCATAGAATCTAGACTGCAGTAAAACCCAATACTCAAGTAGGACAGAAGGTGAAAGGCTCATATGGATAGAAGGCCCAAAGTAGAAGACAGATGGTTTGAAACTTGAGACTCAGACTAAGATGGAAAGCCCATGTTCCAAGATAGATAGAAGCCTCTGTCCTGAAACCAACAAAAGCCTCAAGAACCAAGGAAACAGAGGGTGGCCTGGATCGGACAGAAGGCCTGAGTTGGATGGAATGTTCAAGTCTTGAGTTAGAAGGCTTAAGACCTGGAATATGACACGTACGTGGAAGGCCTGAGACTGTGACACAAGGCCGAAGACCTAAGATTAGCCCCAGGTTGTAGGTGGAAGACCTACAACCCAAGGATGGAAGGTTCCTGACACAAAGCCTACCTAGATGGATAGAGGACCCAAGTGAAACAGATATCTCAAGACTAAAGGCCAGAATCTGGAGGCCCATGACCCAGAACCAAGGAAGAATAGAAGCTTGAAGACCCGGGGAAATCCCAAGATGAGAACCCTAAACACCACCTCTTTTCTATTGTTATACTTCTTACTCTTAGATATTTCCAGTTCTCCTGTTTCTCTTTAAGCTTGATTCTTTTGAGATGTACTTTTTGATATTGCCAGTTACCTTAAAGGAACATATCTTTAGGTTGACAGTATTATGCTTGGGCCAGTCTGGAGCCAGTTTTAAATCACAGTTTTTACCTCTTTGTTAGGCTTTAGTGTTTTGTAAACTTCTGTTTCTATTCACATCTACTCCACTTGAGAGAGATACCAAAATCGAGTCAGTATCTAATCTGGCTTTTGTTATTCCCCTCAGGAGCAAGCATTCATATAGGTGATATTATATTTCAGTCTTCCCTTTTAATCTCAGAAGCCCTAGACTGATGAGAAGATAAAATGGTCAGGTTGTTGGGGAAAAAATGTGCCAGGCTCTCTAGAGAAAAATGTGAAGAGATGCTCCAGGTCAATGAGAAGAATTAGACAAGAAATACACAGATGTGCCAGACTTCTGAGAAGCACGTGCCAGCAACCGCTTCCTTCTTTGAGCTTAGGTGAGCAGGATTCCTGGGATGTGGGATTTCTAGTGATGGTTATGGAAACGGTGACTGGACCTGGGACAAAGTGAGGTCCCAAAGAGACAGCCTGAACTCCCTGCTCATAGTAGTGGCCAAATAATTTGGTGGACTGTGCCAACCCTACTCCTGGGTTTAATACCCATCTCTAGACTTAAAGATGAGAAAACCTCGGACTATTTAGCACATTTAATACTTTCCTTGATTTTTTTCTTCCCATTTATGTGGGAAGTTGATTTAAATGACTGATAATGTATATGAAAGCACTGTAAAACAGAGAAAAAACAAGGCGTGCTCCTTAATAGTGTATTGGGAATCATGCACAGTTAACATTTGAAAGTGCAGTGTAAGTTGTGAAGCATTATGTAAATCAGGGGTCCTCAGTTTTTCTGTAAGTGGTCAAATCATAAATACTTTAGACTGTGGGCCATATGGTTTCTGTTACATATTCTTTTTTTAAACAACCTTTTCATAAGGTCAAAATCATTCTTAGCTTTTGAGCCAGTTGGATTTGGCCTGCTGTTCATAGCTTACCCACCCCCTGATGTATTATTTGTTTTATTCAGAGAAAATGTCTGACTACTACTGATTTCCTTTTCTATGTCTGTCCTGTGCTAGGCACTAAAAATGCAGTGATTTGTGATCACATCCAGGTGACCTGAAGAAAAATAGTGAATGTGCTTTGTAAACTATAAAGCACTTGTATTCTATTGTGATAATCATTGTGGATACAAAGAAAGGAGAAAGCAAGAAAAAGTGCTCTTTCAAAAAGATCTAGTGCTATGCAGATGCTAGAATTAAGTGTTTGATAAATGAATAAATTGTATGTATTTTGAGGCTAATTTGTTTCTGCTGCTCTGGTGATTTTGACTAAAAATGCAGTATTCCAGGTATCAGAAATGAAAACACATGGAAGCTGCTTTTAAACTTTAAAATATACTGAAAACAAGGGACTAAGCTTATTGTGGTCACCTATAGTGTGCCAGATACCATTCTGGGCACTAGAGATCACAAAGGGGAAAAAATGTTCTCATAGAGCAAAAAGTTTCAGAAAGGTGCATATTAAAGTCCTTTGTAAACTAAAGCACAATACAAATGTCAGTAGGCTACATATTTATGAATGAATGAATATTAACTGCCTCTTACATACCAGCTATTGTTTTGGGTTCTGTGAAATACAAGATTAATTCTCCTATGTAATAGGAGGAAAATTTATCCTCTATACTATTTCGATGTAAGGAATGAGATACTGCTTAAACAGTGAAGACTTTAGTGGTGAGGTCAAGTTAAATTATTACTGGTATATTTTCCCAGGTCACCCGGGAGGAGATAGAATGAGGAAATGAAGCAATAGATATGAGATCCAGACCAAAAGTCTTCTGTAAGATAGGTATTGTCTCTACAAAATTCTCATTGTATACTTAAACCACAATGAGAAGGGTTCTATAAGTAGTTATACAAATTAAGGGTTTAAATACCTGTTAAACGGATCAATTTTCATTGCCTACTATGTTAACTCACTGTTAAAGGCACTGAAAATTTATCATATTTCATTTACCCACAGCCAAAAATAAGGCAATACCTATGTTAGCATTTTGTGAACTCTTAAGACACCATATAAATGTAACTATTGATTTTCTCACTTGGTGCTGAGTACCAGGTTTATAAAATTGTATGATAGTTGTTACATTGTGCAAATAAAGCAGGAAATTTTGAGTAACAATGATTAACTTTTAAATATTCATATGCAAGGGGTTGTCTGAAGTATAGTAGTTAACGATTGTGTGCCAATCTCATTGCTAGGCAATGGGGAATGCAAAGATAAACCATCTTTATTGTGTTCTGGGTAGCAGAAGAAAATATGTGTAAAATCAATTTATAATTTCTAAACTGCCACCCATATATAAGCAATATCTGCTGAGTGATCATTGACCAGTCTTATTCTTAGAGATAAGAACTGGGGCACAAAAATTGATTATCATTATTGAACGTACAACAGAAACTTACGTGTAAATTTACAAAGTCTACAGTTCTATACAGATAGGAATGAACTACTGGTTTACTGAATGGTGATTACTTTCTGTGGGGCTCAGAACTACATGTTCTAGGATATAAAAATGATATTATCATTATGGAGTGCTCACAGAAGGAAATGAAGTAATTAATAGGTGTGAGATCCAGACCAAAAGTCACTTAACAGGCTTATTTAGTGATGAAAACATGGGATAAATGGACTTGTATAAGGCAGCGTACTAAGCTAAGTAGAGAAATAAAGTCCTGTCCAGAAGGATACATGCTCCCTGGCCTGACTGAAGAGATGGAAATTTTTTGCAAAAAGCAAGATATTGTCGTCTTCCATCCAGTTTCTTAAATGCTGGTGATGGAAATGAATTAGACCCACCTTGGCCTGTCTTACAGGCAGTAAAGGAGTAAAAATAAAGGCCTCAGGTTTGCTTTTTTATTTATTTGATTAAAAAAAGCACCTTTTATGTGGAATATACCATTCTGGGTCCTGAGGATAAGAGATCACTGACAGCTGAAGATAGAAAATATATCTTTGGTTTGATTGTGTAAATAATATTTCAGTGCCTAGTCTCTGCAAGGCATTATGCTTGGTAAATTAGCAAATTAAATAGGTCTGGCCCAGAAGACCCATTCAATTGCCTTTGAGATTAAAAAAAAAAAAGAAAAAGGCAAATTTCTTTCAAAATAAAGAGACATTTTTCTTAGTTTCAGGAATCCCTCAAATCACTTGCTCATTGGCTTAGTTTGAAGCCAGGAAACTGATAAAAGGGCTCAGGGTTTGTTAATGTTTAATTCATTAATTAAACATTCTGTTCTTATTACAGTTAAATGGTTCAAGATTAAACAACTAGTTTTAAAGGTATTTGCTCATTGACCTGGCTTAGAGACAGGAAGACATTTGAGCAACAAAAAAGATTTTTTTACATTTACCATATTTAGTAAAAATTTATTAAAACTGAATAAAATGCTGTTCTTAAGTGCTTTAAAGACCCAAACCAAAATGCACTTTATCTCATCTTATGGTGGAAACATAAGAACAAATTCTATAAGAGATTGTGTTTCTTTCTTTATTTGAGAAAAAACTTCATTGAGTGGCTGTGGTATGTTCGATGCTAAGGAAAAATTAAACAGACTCTTTGGCATGCTCTGTAGAGTCGGAATAAGAGGGCTTTTTATTTTTTCATTCATATGAATATTGATAAAGATGATATTAAATGCTAAATGAAATATATCTGCTCCAAAAGGTATTTATTCTGACTCGGAGATGCAAGAAAAGCACAAGTGATACTCTACATCAAACAGAAGTCACTGTTACGTCAACCACTGTGTTAAATCCTAGACAGAAAACAAAAAAGATCATGACCAAAAGACATTTGCTTATTAATTGGCTTGGAGACTAGAATATAGGAGAAAGGTTAGTTTATTATTAGTTTTAATTTATTCATTCATTCTACAAATATATTTGTGTGCCAATAGTACTTGGTATAAGGTTTTTGATAGGTTCTTATTTGGCCCCAGAGACATGGGGAAAAAAAAATGCATGTTCCCAGAGAACGCCTGGTGCTTTCCTTTTGGCCTGCTTTCTTGTTAGGGGCATGGCTTAGTCCCTAAATAACATTATGTTGTTTAATTCCTACTCCATATCTCTTCTACCACTCTGGCCACTACAATAAGCAGGTAGCTGGGTTTTTGTAGTGAGCTTGCTCCTTAAGATGCAGGAACTCTCCTTATAAGACAGTTGATTTTCCTAGCCCATCCCTCATGAAAAATGACTGACCACTGCTGGGCAGAAGGAGGGATGATGACCAACTAATTCCCAAACCCCAGTCCCGTTGGTACCAGCCTTGGGGAACCCACCTATACTTGAGGCACAGTTGGTTTTTGAAGTGCATTTACAAGATTTGTCTGTCTTCAGTTTTTTACTTTTTACGTGCTGACACATACATACACTGCCTAGATACATCTCTTTCAGAAATAGTCTTCAGATAACACATAGCAGAATGGAGATGGAGACATGATTTCTCTTGCAACAGCTTCTCAACTTATATCTTAGAAATGTTCTCCTTTTTAGTGATTAAATTTGCTCAAGAAGGGCATTTTATAGTAGAATAATATCTGGATGAAAACAGCTTAACATTTTACCATGCTTAAGTTTTAAGAATAAAATAAAAATTGGAAATAATTGGCCAAAATTGAAAGGAAAATTTTTTTTAAAAGTTCTCTAAATGTAGGCCTGACTGGGCTTTGACCTTTTCCATTTTTAAATCACTCACAGAGGGTGGGACAGGAGGAAGAGTGAAGGAAAAGGTCAAACCTATTTCTAAGGGCAGCCTTCCTTTGTTCTGAATTGGCCTTAAGAACATTAGCTGCTCAAGGTCTAAATTGTTTCATGCAGTTCCAATAACTGATAATTGTTGAGATGAGAACAACATTCTTGGTCCTCACTAGTTTGCTTCACATTTTTGAAAAGTAATTATTTTTGTCCAGTTGCTTATCAAATAAACCTTGTGTTAGATAAGAATGGAATGTATTAAGTGAATCAGTGTGACCCCTCTACTGTAAAATTGTCTTAAAGCTGAAGCCAAAATTGCTTCAAAGGAAGACTTTATTGTTCATTGTATTTCATACATACTTTCAAAGCATCTAAACTGTAGTTTTCCATGGCAAGCCAATTACATCCATAAGTGGAGAAGGAAATTGATAAATGTCAAAGTATGATTGGTGGAGGGAGCAAGGTTGAAGAGAATCTGGGCTTGAAATTTTCTAGTTTCCATTCTATACATTTTTAGACATCAGATTTGAAATATTAATGTTTGTCTTTTAATGTGTGGTATCAGCTGGACTCAGTAACATCTCTTTCTTCAGGTGGGGATGGGGAATGCATTATTGGAAAATGGAAAGAAGAAAGTAACTAAAAAGCCTTCCTTTCACAGTTTCTGGCATCACTACCACTACTGATTAAACAAGAATAAGAACATTTTATCATCATGTACTTTATTCACATAAATGAAGTTGTGATAAATAAATATGCTTTTATGCAGACACAAGGAATTAAGTGGCTTCATCACTGCCCTTCAACCTCAAAGAGAATTTATTCCAGAATGCTAAGATAAATGGAAATGGAAGACTCTTGAATTTGTGAACTGATATGAAATGCAGAATCTCTTTTGAATCTTTGCAGTTTTGAAGACTGAAAAACATTGTTCAGCATGTGTGACCACCAAAAAGCAATCTTAAGCCATCTAGATGTCAAAACCGAAGCAAACTGGGGAGTTGGTTGCTATTGTAAAATAAAATATACTGTTTTGAAAACTTGGTATTTTGATATTACAATGTCTCACTATCCCTTCCTAACCACACTAATTACCCTAAGTTTTTTTGTTGGTTGGTTTTTTTTTTTTTTTGGAGATGGAGTCTCACTTTGTTTCCCAGGCTAGAGTGCAGTAGTGCCATCTCGGCTCACTGCAACCTCTGCCTCCCAGGTTCAAGCGATTCTCTTGCACTCAGCTTCCTGAGTAGCTGGGATTACAGTCGAGAGCCACCACGCATGGCTAATTGTTGTATTTTTAGTAGAGACAGGGTTTCGCCATGTTAGCCAGGCTGGTCACGAATTCCTGACTTCAATTGATCCTCCTGCCTCAGCCTCCCAAAGTTCTGGGATTACACGTGGGAGCCACTGTGCCTGGTCTCACTTCTTTCTTTCTTTTTTAATTTGATTGTATAAATAATTTATTTCTGTTCACAGCATCATATATGCATTATAAAAGGCTATGGAAACAAAAGAGGAGGATGATCGAGACAGATAATTACAGCAGTAGAAAGGAAAACAGAAACCAAGGCACACAGTCCCAACACCAGAACAGAGAATTTGGGAAGAAAATTGTTCTGAAGCAAAACTGGCCTCCCTGTGTCTATTGGAAAATATTTCCAAAGCTCACATAGGGAGGCCAACTTCCTCTATGGGAAAACCATTCACTCGCCAAAGGGCAGAAAGCATAATAAGTCACCCATTGATACACTGGGGGCGGGGGTGCTTCCCATGCCCCCCGGTGACCACTCCAAGGTGATTTGATCTGTGCTTCCTTTGTTGGGTCAGAGATGAAATGGGCTATTATTAGGTCAAAGATTACAGAAATCAATTAATATCTAGACCCATATGCTTGGAATTTTAAATTCTCTTAGCCTACTGATTGGTTTGGATGAGCCCACCAGCTGCAGATGTGTGCTGAATTGCAAGATGCTATTTTTTTTAAACAAGGGATGTGTCTTGTAATACTAACTGCGTGATGATTGGTTTTCAGACATGTTTAAAAAAAAAAAACTTACAAATGAATACTTACCTTAGAAATATTCACCTTAGGAAAAAAGACTTTGCCCTTTTATATTCCTTTACGCTGCAAGTAGCGACATGTTCAGATTTCTAATGTGGTTCATTGTGGCCTATCTGGTTTAAGTATTTCATTAAAAATGTCTCGTTAGAGTATTTGCTGTCATGCATCAAAAAGATAAAACCCCACCTTGTTGCAAAAGCTGACCTCGTTGCATGGAATTAAAAGAGAAAAACACAAGGATGAAGTCTTTCCGAATTCATTCTTGTGGGAACTGGCCTATGGAGCCAGCCAGCACTTTGGGCAAATGCAAACAACGAGTGCTTGAGATAAAAGAAAGCGTGACGTCATGGTCACTGGTACTCAGGCACTTCATAGTTTACTTGAAAGAGGCTTTGGAAAATAGATAAAGTGAAAGAAGAATAAATACATATTTTTAATAATGTAATTTTAAAAATCCTTTATAATCAGGACTGTGTCTTGGTTTGCAGAAGCTGTCATTTACCCTGAAACACAGTATCAAAAGGGAAACTTAAAACATACTGATGTTTTATTTCCTCTTAGAATCCATGTTTTCAGGTAGAATTATGACTTTCCCCCCATTGTCACACATTTCTTTCTTTTTTTCAACTACCTTAACCACCCAGTTTGGGTAAATGATTTGAAGTCTTCTTACAGCTTCATTTGCTTTGGTCAAGGATACTGAGAAGCACAAACCCAATAAAAAATGTGAGAAGCAAAAAACTTGAACAAAAGTGGGAGAGGAGTAGGGTATAAATAAACTGTAAAGCTGTGGGAATTAAGCATTCCTGAAAGGCGCAGACCCTGAGTAGGTGAAGGAATCTTTAGTGTTTCTAGAATTCTGAATGATTAAATACCCAAACATTGGATTGGTGACTTTGTAGGCAAATGAAACAACAGTATTCTGTCAGCAGGAGTTCCTACAGCTTTGTTGGAAATTAAACTGGAAACTGGGTTTTTTGTTTTTGTTTTCTGAAGAAAGCCTTAACCTGTTATGAGCCACATGGTTATTCAGTACATGTCCTCTTTTTTTTTTTTTTTTTTGAGACAGTCTTGCTCAGCCACCCAGGCTGGAGTGCACTGATGTGATCTCAGCTCACTGCAACCACCATCTCCCGGGTTCATGCAATTCTCCTGTCTTAGCCTCTCAAGTAGTTGGGATTACAGGCACTACATCATGCCTGGCTAATATTTGTAATTTAGTAGAGATGGGGTTTCACCATGTTGGCCTGGCTAGTCTTGAACTCCTGACCTCAGGTGATCTGCCTGCCTCAGCCTCCCAAAGTGCTATGATTACAGGTGTGAGACACCGCTCCTGGCCTAGTACATATACTGTTAAAACTGATGCCTGAACAACTCTAGCCTATGTGTTAACAGTTGAATTTTGTCATTATAAATGAGTAGTTTGAGGTGATAAAAGTTAACCCATATCCTGGGGGGTTGCTTTTGAACTGGGATGGTCCTACATGGACTTTCCTGTTTACTTCTATTTCTTTGCAAGGCTAGATATGTAGGACAGAGGGTAAGCAGGTGAGGAGGTAAGGAAAGACATCCTGAAGTTATTCCTGGGTATTTTCTATTCCTTTGTCCATCCCTCTTGACTCCTTCAGCAGATCCTATTCCCACAGGGGCTTACTTCAGTTCCCTTGCCATATTTGCTGTGCTTACTCTTGTGTTTGTGGTGCCTTAGTCCTCAAATTCTGTTCTTTCTCTTGTAAAATTTGAATGGAGGGGAAATAAAAAACACGATGTCTCCTGGTTAGTGAGGAAAGGTCAGAAATGTCAAAGCATTTGATAGTATTTTTCAGCTTTTGTATTTTTTATGGTGTGAGTATGAAGTGATCACTGCATGCTTGTAGTTAGATTTTGTGCCAGCCTAACCCACATCCCCCAAAATTTGTGCCTCCTGTCAGTTTACTCTTCTACACTTGGTCATGAGAAAAGATAAGGTTACTGAGGCTAGTAGACTTACGCAAGCATTTGTCATTCAAATTTTGAAGTGGAATAATTTAAATGGGGTCTAAAATTTAGCTAGCCATTCTACTCACTGAATGGGTAGACAGGAAAAGTACTGGTTATAGGTCCAACTCCTCAAAAAGGTGGAGGGAGCAAGGAAAACCAGTTGGACTTTTGTACCCTTCCCATCAATTATAGCAAATGGAGCACCAAGACAATTACATGGTAACTGAAGAGTCATTTGAATAGTTCTCAAAATTTAAACCCCACTCAGCTATACTCTTTCCATTGGCTTGGTAAAGGTGAACTTTAGAGGGGTTCTTGTATTTCCTGGGGTTGCCACAGTCTCTCCCAGTACCAGCATTCCCAGTGGTGAGCTTCCTTTTACACACTCCAGTTTCTCTTCCCTATGTACTCTGGATAAAAATTGTAACTGCTTTCTAGAGTGCTAGAGCAAAAGCTATCATCACTTGAGGGCCTAAGGAAAGAAGGGCAAAGGGAGAGCAGAATGCAAAGTACAGTGGGAAAGAAAGTTGGATTTGAGCAGCCTTGCAGGTAGCTAACTATTTAGGCAGTCCCTGTCACTTTTTGGGAACTCGGTGGTAAGGAAAAAAATTCATAAGCAGACTTTGTAGGTAGCATTTAAGAAAATCTTAGGAAGACTTGTATTAAATAGAAGAAGAATGTCAAATGTTGGGTGAGTTGTGAAGGATGAGCTTTGAGTGGACCTGACTTGTAATATTCCGTGAAGAAATGATTAGATATATCCAAAAGACCTAGAAAAACCCTTCCCCTTGTAGCCTTTTCCTTGCTGTTTTTTTTTTTTTTTTTCTTTACTAATGTATCATTCTGAAAGCATCCCAGGAAAGCCAATGACAAGGAGAATGGTGGAACAGATGTGGGTTCCATCTGGCAGAGGGTTATATTGTCTTCTCCTCAGCCTCAGAAGACATTTGGCTGAAGTACCAGAGTGCAAGAAATGTCTTCTGTTACTAGGCAGATAGTCTATCTGCATAGTGTGGTAGTTTTATTCCCTCACTTCAGTTAAATTCCACTGTATTTTATTGTTTTGGTGCGTGACGGTGTTAGCTGTGCAATTCCCATCGGACCAATTAGAATTGTATATATAAATGCACAAAATAAAGATGAGGCACCTGAAGCCCAGAGAAAATGACTTGCTCAATGTCACAGTGCAAAATAGACGAGGTGAGCCTAGATCTAAATTCACTTAATTTCTAAACTAATTCTTTTCTCACTGTATATATTATCATCATAGCCTCTTTTATGATAACTGATACATGCTCATCAGGAAAGAGCTTGGATTATGAGTAATTTACAGTTAGAATGACTCCTCCTAATCATAGCTAACCTCCAGTGTACTATTTTATGTCTTTATGCTCATGGAGAAATGAAGTCTTAGAGAATATACAGAGAGGGATTGCAGTAATTATGACTATTAACTGGTACCTAAATGGGAGCAATGTGAACTATTTAAAGGAAGACACAGGAAGATAAGGTGGAGCTAGAGTATTCCCAGTTGTTACTTCCTGGGAAGTACTGGAAAACTTGTCTGGCATAGTATCCCATGGCATTTGGATTGTGGGCATAGGAGGACAGCTGATGCAAGCTGAATCCGCAGGGAGATAGACCATGAGAGAGAAGGCAGGTTGTTAGAGTACCTTGCATGATAGCATCCTATAATGCCAAACCAGTCTTCTCACTGTCACCTCACATGTTTGAATAATCATTGGAAAAAGCAAGACTTAGCAGGGAATAAAGTTACTTTTGAGCTGCCACTTTTACTACTTAAAAAGTGGTGAATAGGTAGAGATGGATTCCAGTTGTCCTCACCATAGTAAACTGTTGCCTCCAAGAAAAAGAATGAACCAAGAATATGATGGACACTACCTAGTATTGGCTCAACTGGTCCCTGAGAGAAGGGACTTTCTGTAAAGGCTGCTACCTGGTTTTTGATACAGCAACTAGACATATATTTTGGGGTTCTAAGGGT